ACTCTTGTAATATCTTGTGTCGTTTAACTGGAAAAAGCATCTAATCCTATAACACTACACTTTATAAAAGTCTTTTTAAACTTCCATAATTATAATGTTATGTTGTATTGTTAGGAAGAAAAGTACTACTTATAGCGTTTTTTATATTTTATATCACACATTTTGTTCTTATATTAAGTATATTTCCAGTTCAAGATAAAAACTTAAAAAAAACTTTTGAAATTTGTGAGGAAATACAATGGTGTTATAATAGTGCACAATATAATATTTGTATTTACATTTGTGGTAACGAAATAGCAGTGAGACTTTTGTTCTAATTAGTTCTATTAGCCAATATATTTGACACATTAACTTTATGTTATGTCATATGAAATACGTACGCGGCGAACAATCACAGAATGGCACTAAACTCTTGTTTCTTAGAATAAGAAATACTTCGCTCTCTGCTAGTGTTTTTACTTGTGAAGCACCAAGCGAATCTTATCTTCTATTTATGATGTTCGATACACTTGTTTGTGTAAATATATTCAAAAAAATATGGGATTGTCGTCTGGGTCATCTGGTACAGTTGCTAACGGCCAGTTGATAACATGAATTATTTATTGATCTATGCTTCGAAATGCCGACGTTGTGTTTCTGGCAAAGGCGTAAGTATTTTTGAACATAAAATTGAACTAATACTGCTCCAATAATATTTCACCAACAAAGATGCAACGTTTTTGTATGAAATCACTTACGCTGCTGTTTGTCACACAGTATAAGGTACAAAAATACACAAGAAATATAAAATATACAAAAGATATAAAATACAGATTGTCTCTATTATTTAAAAAAAAAGAACTGCCTTTCTTTATTTTTAGAAGTACATTCTTAAAGACGCATTTGAAATCCGCTCCTTTCAGGAAAAGTATACATTATTTCTAATATTACACACAAAAGTAACTTACGCGCAATGATGCCAATGTAACTTTAGTAATTTTCAAGTAATTTGATAAAGATGAAAAAAATCTGAAAATTTGTATTTTTCATCTATCCCCTTGAACTTATAACTTCTTAGAAGAGAAAGAAGGAGAAGTATGAGGAAAACGTATGTGTGACAGAATGTCTAAGGTCAGTCTATCAAGAGAGATATGTTACATTATCATTCATGTCGCGTTATATTTATTTAAAACGATTACGTATGCACAATATAAGTTTGAATAACAGCAACAGTGCTTCTTCAACTACAGTCTGTATCAGTAAACTTTATATGCAGAGAAGCATCATAAAGACATATACATGTATAATTTATTATATGCAAATTTATATACTTTCATTATATCTTTTAAAGGCACTGAAGCATTGCGCAAAGTACACTTGTAATCTTAGAAACATAAAATTGCGTAAAAAACTGCATTAAAATATCACATAGCTTATTGTCGTAAATATGCGAATATTTTTCTCTTAATTAAATTTACAAGCATCTATACANATTATGGTTACTAACAGTACACACAACTAAAAGCACATGCACGTCACATGCTTGTTGCCACTTGCAGATTCTTTGAATTTTATAATTCTTTCTCTTTCATTGTTTTACAGTTCAGCTTTACGCTTATCTATCGCAGTTGTAGCCCATGTTAATGTTTGGTTGTCGAAGTTATTTTTCACGAAGTTGCTTATCTAACAAATTATTAGCAGTTTAGACATTTTTACTAATAGTAAAAAAAATATACTGGATAAAAACAATGAAAATAATATACTGGATTCGATAATATATGCGACCTGAAAATTGAATGAGTTCTTTTATAATAAACTTTACCTTTTCCAGTCGTTCAGTAGAATGTACATTGTTGATAATTTTTTCAAGTATCTGCTCTGTTGTATATCCTCTATAAAAAAAAAAATAAAAAAACAAAATAAAAATATAATAGATATAAAAATATAATATTTATACATAAGCACTATATATTGTAAGTGGAACTAATTGAATTACTGTTATTACCTGAACGTTGTTTTACTTATATCTTCCAATAAATAATCCAGTACTGAATCATCGTCCGCATGCTTTTGAACAATAGTATCGTAAATCGTTCTGTACTCGCTATCTGGTAATATATAATCTACTACTGATCTACTTAATATATTAATCGAACTATTAGAATTGTGCCAACTGTTTTGTTCAGTTTTTTTTAAAACTGTGCTCTCTGAGTCGCAACATTCACATTTATGCGTCTTATAAATTTTTCTTTCGCATGGAGCCCACATAGCAGCAAATACCCAGATGAACGTGTTTCGCGGAAGCCTACAAGAAACCATAGACTCTAATTATATAAAACCAATGATTATTCACTCTAAAAGTATATGATTATAACAAACTTACTCGTCCAACTCAAATTCTTCTTCTTCATCCTCTATTTTCATAGAGATGTTACGAAATATTTTTTCGCATTCAACGTTACCGAATTCAGATGCCGATATCATAGTTAAAAGTCTTGTTATCCTCTGAAAGACATTGTCCGCTGGATCGTCTTCGGATCCTACGTGTTTAACAAGTGTATCCATAAGTTTCACTAGGTGTATCTATAAGGCAACAACATAATGTAAAATCAAGATATATTAGAAAAATTGATATTTAGACAAGTTTCAAAACTGTCGTGAGACATTCTTTTTTTATTTGTTTTTTTACGCTGTATACATTTTTTAGATAGACTGTTTCCTTTTTTTAAAAAGTTTTTTATCCAGACTTATTTTTATTCAATCAAATGTATTTTGTTCTCAAAAAAAAACAAATATAAATTTTACCACTTACCTTTACCGAATGAGTGTCTGGGAAATTGTTAAAGTCTTCTTCGTTTTTCACAAATTCAATTATCGGCATCCACGCTATAAAATTTGTTTCCCTTTGTAAGTAATTTGCAAGCTCTTTAAAATTAATAAGATCCGATGGATAAACCATCAGATGAAAGAAATCATCAAGAATCTGAGCACGATTAAGCACGTGTATCTTTTCATAATCATCTGAGTTTAAATATTCTGCAATCTTGTACCAACTGGGAAAGTCATATTTAACACGATAATATCCTGTAAAAATCATTAATAGTATAAAATCGTTTGCACGCATTATCAAGATTATTCTATAAATCTACGATGCATGATTTTTATGTACTTCTTAATCTGGCCACAGTGCTTTTTTCGCAATATAATTCTAAATTAGAGAGAGGATAGATAGATATTTATCATATATAGATAATGCAAGTAAGCATGCTATATGAATTTATGAAATGTATTTTCAATTCAAATAACCGTGTGTATTAATTTACATTATTAAAAATAAATAAATAAGTATGTATGTATATATATTTCGCACGAACATCCTGCATATATGTCGACGCTTATTTACCGCGTAAAATTCTTTGTTAGTCTTCTCCTTACCTGTTTTTTGCAAGTTGATTATGATCCAGTCATCTAATTCAATTCCCTTTATGACTAGATTTTCATCTTGTGGTTTTAACCAATATTTTGGCACAGTGTTGGAAAAATCGGGATTCGATCGCGTAGCAAAAGTGATAGGTATCCACCATTTCTTGTCGTCGACGGAGTCAGTTTCGTTTTGCGAACGGAAGCGCTTTTGCGTCAAAATGACATCGCCGTTTTCATAATTTCGAGTCACATGTACCACAGGATAACGATCTTGTCTTATGTACGCATCCATCACTTCTTTCACATTGTAATCGTCGTGTGGAACATCCGAATCATCTAAGGCCTCTTGCGTAGCGTTCCAGAAGTCGTCGGATGTAGCTGAGCCGAATTGACTAAAGAAACATAATAAATCATAACACAAATGTTAGAGTAACGGTTATTCAATTTCTACTGCACTAGCTAAAACAAGTAACTCTAATTAATGCTCTATGTTCACGTGTGTGACAAATATCTGTTATCATCAACTAGTAATCAAATAATGTCGCACTGACTAATACAAGCAACTTTGTAAGTATAATGGTCATGTGTGTATTAAATTTTCTACATTTTTATCACCAATCAATACTATACTCACTGTGCATTTAAAAATTTAATAATACCCATTCGGAATACGTCATCGGTAAGAATGTGTTGCAACATACGCAGTACAGAACGTGCTGTAACAATTAGAAAAAATGATTGAACCTTTTTGTAAGTTTAAAAGAAATTCTTTCTTTTTCAGANACTTGAAATAGAAAGAACCGCAAATACAAATTGTTTTTACTGCCATGTATTTTTGTTTATTATTTAGAAACATAAGACACATGGCTCAAACATATATGTTTTTATCTCACCCTTGTAACGATCGAGATTGTTGAGGAGATTGGTAATTTCTTCAGAAGTATTAACCTCTTCTGTAAGAGGTTTCAAATTCCGGATATTCTGCGAAAAAATAGTGTAGTGAGAATCAATCACAAAAAGATCTGTCCTCTTCCACTCTTCAAGCCCCTAAAATCATATAAAATAATGATGATAAGATCAACTAAACATAAGTAAAGTTACGTGCTAAATCAATATTATTTTTAGTAAACCACATTATCTCACCTTATCGATAACATAATCCGCGAAATATGCTGCTAATCCTTCGGTCAACCACACGTGAGACCACCATGACGGACTGACTATAGTACCGAACCATTGATGTGNTATTGTCCTTGCTGCTACTTCCATTGACTCATACGTGTAATATATCGACGCTGACTCTTCAGGTATAATACCGCTAGAAAGTTTTACCACAACTTATTTTGAAATACAAGATTTGGTTTTACAAATATATTATCAATCAATAGAAAAATTTCTAAATTTAAATTTTCAAATCATAGAAATACTCGCGCAAAATTTAAAAATACACGTAAATGATACACAGTGTATAGAAAGTTTTGCAAATGCAAGTGATAGCGCGATAACTAAGTTCTAAAAGAGATAAAAAGAATAGTACTTGTAGAGAATAAGACCCCAGTTCTCTGTTACGTCTACGCAAGGATTCGACATCACGACTTGATCGATTATCGGGACCTTAACGGTGATGTTGGTGTATTCTGTCAATAGCCGTGCGAACGTTACGGCGATATCCTGCTCATATTTTGCCTGCAATCTTGGATCATCGGAATTCCACCACGTATTAATGGTTCCGTCTTCGTTGGAAGTATGAGTGAAATTGGACAGCACAACGAACCCAACCAGATACGTGGACATGATCGGGGTCGTTTCAAAGTGTGTCCATACCGTGTCGTCGTCGTCATCCGTTTGCTCTCGTATCGGCATATTCGACAGAGCTGTGTTATTCCGATTGTGTTTGATAGAAATATTGAAGGTGGCCTTTAANGCCGGTTCGTCCCAGCATGGAAACATGCGTCGTGCCGATGTAGGTTTAAAATGCGTNGCGGCCAACTGCCTGTCACATTTCAACCAAACAATTCCGATAAAAATACANATTTGCTCTCGATGTAAGAATGAGAATCATTAAGCACAAANTTTTAGAAAACTAAGTGCGCGCGATTAATAACTATTTCATGATAATATAAAGACAAATATTTTCTTCTTGTCTGCAAGNCATGCATTNTTGTNTGATATTTGACGAAAAAATAAAAAAATCTTCGGATTAATATGTTTGTTTTTGAATATTTGTTCTCTTTTATAAATATATCATAGTCTTTTATAATATATCACATATTTTGTTGAATAATGTTTTGTTCGAGAATTTTGTAGAAAAATATGTAAGAATCGTAAAATACTATCTACACAACATATAAAATAGTCCAAGTGATAAAGATATCTGTACNCCTATAAATNTTATATAGCTGTACNCCTGTAAGCGTTATATANGATCGAGTTTTTTGGTTTTGTAAAAATTACATAAATGATGGCAACAAACAAAAAANAACGATGAAATGTCAGTGACAAAAATTACAAGCAATATATAATCTACACAAGAGAAAATAACAAGTTACTTACTCATTTTTTCTTTCAAAACTACCGGCAAAGTTTAAATGTAGAATATATTCCTCAGGTGATAGATCATTATCGAATTCAATGTTTAAAATTTCTGTTACATCGTCGTGAGTATGAGTTGTGGGCACGTAACTATCTCCATTGCTATTGACAACTTTTGTCGCAGCTTCATCGATTGTCAAATNCATCGCATGTAAATATAAATTTTTTGTCGGCTGACGGACCTGAATGGTGACACTGGATTCACCGTTAAAGCTGGAGTTACCATCGTCGATGTGCAATATTAATTTGATGTCATAGTGTGTTGGCACCACGCTTTCCGGTAAACGATATTTATTCATCGTGTGTGATGTATTTTCCACACCTTCGTCGATGGGGAGAACAGTTGCAGCAACGATGTTTCTTACTGGAAAACTGATGCAAGTGAGGAGGAAGACAAGGTATTTCGCGTACTGACAGTAAAACAGCCGTCTAGCTCATGATGCAGAACGTCGATGCGTAATATGACTCATACTGACGACAAATAAGTGAATCGTTATTGAAACGACGTCACATGCAGCCGCGGAATTCAAGTCTTGGCGTTCTGGTGTCGTTTGATAATTTTGCTACAACTTTAATCGTAAATTAGTTCATTCTGTATATACAGGATGTCCCAGAATTGATTTAACATCTCTCGTAGACAGGTAGAAGGAATAAAACTGAGGTGAAAAGTCCTACACCATTTTGCTTGATTTTCGCAATAGTTACTGAGATTTTAATTAACAAAGATCCGCGTATAAGCGTGCATCGGGCTGTCTTACGCGCGTAGGGCAGCCCGATGCATGCTTATTTGCGGATCTTTGTTAATTAAAATCTCAGTAACTATTGCGAATTTAGCAAAATGGTATAGGACTTTTCACCTTAGTTTTATTCCTTCTACCTGCCTACGAGAGATGTTAAACCAATTCTGCGACACCCTGTATATATATATATATATATATTTGTTATATGCATATGTTATACTTATTATACAAGTGTACTCATGAGTGATTTTATTGTTTTTTACGTTATGGTCGAAGCAGTAAGTAGATGCTTTCCAATTAGCGACACAAGTCGACACGAGAGTCATTCTGTCCTTGTTCAATATTTAATGAGAAACAAAGACACAATGACTCTTGTATCGTTTAACCGGAAAGCATCTAATATGTTTCTGCACTTTATAAAAATCTTTTTTAAAACCTTCATATTCATTTTAATATGTTGTAAACTAATTAGTTGTTTTAGCTAATATATTTGACACTTTATCTTTATTATGTTATATGAAATACGTACGCGGCAAATCTTACGTACCAAGCAAATCTTGTCTTCCATTTATGATGTACGATATACTTGTTTGTGTAAATTTATTCAAACAGATGTGCAATTGTCGTCTGGGTCATCTGGTACAGTTGCTAACGGTCAGTTGATAATATGAAGTATTTATTAATGTATGCTTCGAAATGGTGACGTTGTGTTTCTGGCAAAGGCGTAAGTATTTTTGAACATAAAGTTGAACTAATACTGCTTTAATATTATTTCACCAACAAAGATGCAACGTTTTCATATGAAAGCATTTACACTGCTGTCTGTTTGTCACACAGTATAATTACAAATAAACAAAAAAGTACGAAAAACATAAATTACACAATATTCTTTTGTTATTAAATGGAAAAAAACTGCCTTTCTTTAATTTTATGATTACAGAGACGCATTTCTGCTCCGTTCAGAATTGGTGTACATTATTTTCAATATTATTTACACAGAGGAGTAACTCACGCAAAGGTGCCACTGGAAATTTAGGAGTTTTTAATTAATTGATAATGTGAAGTACACAAAACCTGAAAGCAATCGTATTTTCCATTTGTTTCCTTGAACTTGTAGCGAAGAGAAGAAGAGGAGCGAGAAGAAGAATGACAGAATGTTTAAGGTCAGACTATCGAGAAATACATCGCGTGTTGCATTATTATTGATGTCACGTTATATTTATTTAAAGCGATCACATACATTGTAACAGACATAAAACGGGAGATATTCTATAGCTGTGTCATTTCATGTCGATAAACTATACATCTCTTTTCCGAATATTCGACACGAGGTCACATAACGTGAACACATTAATAATTATTACTCAGTACGTTATTTGTCACATCAAGAGCCCTCGCATTTATTCGTAATAAATAATCAATATCGTTATTAATATAAACAGTGATAACGTAAAAAATTTGCTACATTGCCATACAAAGTATCAACGGCACTTACATTGCAAAGTATAACATAACTCTCTATGAAAAGTTTAATTGGTAACAACGGTTAAAATACGTGTGTGTGTAAACTATAGAAGATATATTTTTTTTTATAAGTCGCGCATGATGTTTTTCAAACAATGGTATTTCTCGAAGTGTTTTTTCTTTTTTTCAATCCCGGTCGAATTAAACAACGCAGCACCAAGAGAATAACTCTATATAAAAAAAACGAGATTGCACATAGCGCTCGTTTTCGTGTAAATTCCACAAAAAGTCTACATCAACAGCTACACAAGCCTGTAAAAAACGTTTCAAATAATACACGCCGCATTTCGAATTATCGCTAGTGTAGAAATATCCGTGAGATTTTGATAAAAAATCTACTGGAGAAATGTTCTTTTTGATTTCTAGTTTGGCTCCACGAAGAAGTCTCTCAATGACAAATCGATCGATGTTAACGAAAATTGTGTCGGAGAAAACTTTTGCTCTTTCACGCATATTACTTGCAACAAGCTCTTCCTAATCGTACGACTTGCTCTTACACATTAACGATTACACAATTAAATACTCGCTATGTGATGGATAACGATTATGCGATTACAAGTTAGTATTATCTTTTGTTTAAGTCTCTTATCGTTATTTCGGTGTCAAATAAATACAGATATAATGATACGGTGTTTTTTTCGGACATTTTAAATGTTAAATTTTCGTGGATAAAGTCTCGTCGGAGAGGGATAAGATTTGGTGGAAATAAAGAGGAAGAAATAGTGTTCGATACTTCTTGGTCACAAGGATATCAAAAAAAAAAAAACGAAAGAGTTTCACGTTACGTAGACTCCTACACATCGGAATGTTGGGAAACTCGGATCGAGAATACAAAATGATAAAAAACAAAAAAACAAAAACCGATATATATAAATCATGAGAAAACGCATGAATCTGCGACATTTGTGCTTCTTAACTGCTTCTGAGTGTGTATTAAGAAAAGTTCGTACATTTACGTGAATGTGCACTCTTTTTTATAAAACGCGATCGTCTACATCTCGATCTTGTCGCGATGGTCTTTCTTATATAACGATACGAGCGAACATTATCAAAAATTTGTGCGTCGTTTTTATATCGTGCGCTGAGACATCGTGAAAACGGGAGAATCTGTATATACCTAGGGCATCGTCTTAAGCTTCTGCTAACATGTAACATTCATTATACGCATCTGTTCGATGAAGGAAAAAAATTCTCCGGGTCATTGATAACACAGATCTGCAAAGTTTTGTTGAGAATCAAAGGTGGTTTTTTACAATTTTGTGCGCTGAATATGAATCTGATCGCAAAAATTGCTCATCACGTCAGATTTTTGAGATAAATGCAATAAAAATGATCAAAAATAACAATTGTGATTATATTCACAAAAGTAAATCAGACCAGAAAATCTTCTCCCTTTCTCTTCCTCCTACCAGAAAAAGCGTGAGTAAATAATCACAATCGATTTAACGATCTTGATTGTTGCCACTTTTAACGCGACGCTGATTGGACGTCTTTCGGTGATGTTTCTTGGATGCATTTCTCGGTTCATGTCGTGCGTATATATATATACTAGCTGTCATCGCGGTGACAAATTGGGTTCGCTGACAAAACACGTTAAAACAAAAATAATAGCGCGCGCCTATGTTGCTATATATATATTTTTTGCGTTTCCGTTAATTTAGATCTAATTAAATTAATTAAATTAGCCAGATTCGACGCACAAAATTAATTAATTAATTAAAAAACCACTTTTAATTCTCCAACAATTTTCAACACTCATTTCGCAGACCTGTCTAATTAATATTTCTACTATTTATCGGTGTGTGTGTACATATAAATTATTCGATCTAGAATCGTTTCTTTAACGCGTATTGCTTCTAAAGTCTATACAAGTATAAATTTATCGAAAAATGTTGATCGTACAAAAAGTGATTATTACGCGAATGTTGATGTTTTTTCTCCGGCTAGCACGCTTTTTTTAATCGATGATAATCGTAAGCCGCTTCATCATACTCGGTTTAGAATGCAACATTCAATCTCAATATATTTAGCGACCGTATTAGAAAAACACATGTAAAACTTTTGCGTGATATATTATAGTTACATAACAATGGTCACTTAAATTAAAGTAAACTAAAAATCGCAATCTTCGTATGTACATACAACATCCTAATTAACTGTATTTAATGAAATATTTTCTTATATTCAATCATGATACAACTTAACAGCAACCTTTACATATGCTTTGTTGCAGAAATAAATTGTCACAACTTGAAATAAATAAATTATATAAATATACAGATTCACAATCTATAAATTGTAATGATACATAATCGTGCTGGTGGTGATAAAATTCTAGATTTGATGTAACAACAAAGAAAACTTCGAACTTGAAATTTTTTTAATGGTTTTTTGATTATATAACGTGTCACGTGCATAATATAATTATGTCACAGAGTGCAACTATCTTTCATATACGTATTTGTGTAACACATAACGTCATAAATTAACACAACTTTTTTTTGTGATAGCTCAATGTAAAAATGTTACAAAACAAATAACTTCCTCATTTGTCTCTTTCCAAACCGTGCGACTCTGTCGCCATGCGAATTCTCCCCTTATCGTTGATAATAAACAAGCAACTGTCTTATTAATAATAATAGTAATAATCATAATTGCATGTGACTAATATCACAATTGTTTTTGTTTTCGTGATTAAATATTTCTACGTATAGTCGTTGGCTTTCTAATTTCTCTTTATATCTCGCGAATTGCAGAAGTTGTCATATACAATAAATGAAAACAAAAACATTTTTCAAAGTATTAGACTTTTATACGACAGACAACAAATGCTGCTCTTGACCTTGGAACTTTCAGAATTCGCTTGTGATTTTCTTTTGTGTGTGATCGTTTGGTGAATAAATTTCATTATACTTCTGGTTTTCAATACAAAAGCTGAGAAGGTCGGGAAAGTCTGTTGAACGCGTTGGTGAAAGATCAGAAAACATGATTTTCGTGTGTCAAAAAAAAAAAAAAAAAAAAGAAAAAAAAACAATTGAGGAACGGACCAAGGTCAATGACGTGAAGCGCGCCAGTGATATACATTACAGCGATGAAGCGATAATGAAGCGAGAGTGAAACGATTAAAGTGAATGTGTATGAACTACATACATGTACAACCTACTGGCCAGCGGCTGCCGCATCCTCCTTTGATGGAACAGACCTTGATCGATGGGAATAGAGTGTGAAAAGAACTGAACTTAATGTGATATATTTGATGATTAGCGAACCTGAAAGCGAGGACGATACTCCGAAACGAATGAAGTGAATGAATATTATTTGGTGGTGACAAATGACAGGAGCGTGATGATGAGAGGAAAGGAAGAAATATAAAGTTTCATTCATTTCTCTCGTCTTGAGTCCTTATTACGAAAAAGCGAATCTCAAGAGAGAGAAAGAGAGAAAAAAAAAGAGATAGATGTTTCTCTGTCTTTTGTTTAAATTACCAAAAGCCTCCCGCACTGCGACCGCCCGGTGGATTATTTACGCGAATGCATGCCTTTCGTGCCTCTTCAACGTCCTCTGCAAGAAGAACGCGTTTGTATTCACCGAATAAAAAACGAAGGGCGAAGAGAAAACGAAGAAACGAGATCAAATAAAAAAATTGTGGATACGTAAATTTATAACAACGATTTTATAACTTACCGCTGATAGAGAAAGTAGTATCCTGCAGATTTCTCTGCCCTTCGAGCCTCGGGCCCTTCGTAGATGGCGTTACCACAGCCGAATCCGGGAAGGTAGCCATATAATTTCCGGTTTGCAGTTTTATCTTCGGACTCTCGTGAATCGTACCGTTCTGATTGGCACGTGCTGCAGCTGCCGCTCTCGCTTCTTCTTTAGCTTTCGCGATCGCAGCGTCTTCCTCGGCAAATCGCTTCGCTTCCGCCTCGGTTCGCGCAACTCCGCGCGGTCTCTACACAGTCGCATGTCAAGTTTCAATTTAAAATTTCGGTAACATTTTATCCCAAAAGAGATTTACATGGTTCTCTTTTATATACTATTTTTCAAAAATTATACAAACTGTTGCTAAGAAAAAAAAAAAAGAATTTTTGAAAACTATTACCTTTTCTTTGTCGCTTATCATGTCGTACACGTAAGTTCCGAATGGCTCCGTGTTCACGTACTTTCCGAAACCATGAACAGCCTTGAGCTCGCACTCGTCCACGCAAATGCGTCCGTTGACAATCACGTATTCAGGTACACCAGTTACTTCCATACCCTGTGTATATATAAATAATTGATATTATTACTCTGTAAATTTGACGTCAATAATTTTATAATAAGCGATAGTTCACATATTCTCTTGAACAATAACACAATGTCACATCGCAATTGTGTGAGTTCTCGCCGAAAGCCGACGACTTAAGCAAACTCGCCTCAAAGATATTAAAGTCAACGGCCTGGACGTGGGTCTGAGCGGAAATGGTACGCTTCCTGTTCGGATCCCAAACGACAATATCGGCGTCCGAGCCGACGGCTATGACCCCCTTTCGGGGATACAAGTTGAAGATTCTGGCGGCGTTCGTGCTGGTGACGGCGACAAAACGGGTGGGATCCATGATACCGGCGTGCACGCCCTTCTCCCAGAGAACGGACATTCTGTCCTCTACGCCGTTTACGCCGTTGGGAATCTTCGTGAAGTCGTCCTTACCCAGAGCCTTCTGATCGGAGTTAAACGTGCAATTGTCGCTGCCAATAAGCTGAAGAGTATCTCTGAAAAACGATCACATTAGTCGGAGTTCGAAGAGATAAAAATCGAAAAGTAATTCCAAGAGAAAAAAAAACAAAATAACAAACGGTCACCTTGACATCGAGTAGGCTGGAGGTTAACAAGAAATTAATAACATGAAATTAAAAATCCGCAAGCGTCGAACAATTCAAAGCCAGAAGACGGCTGTTAAAATGATAGTCGTTGAAACTACTCAGTTTTTCCTCCATCCGTTTAATTAACATTAACGCGCCGTATCACACATACTTCCCACGTTACGACTATTAATATCAAAACCAAGACTCACGCTTATGTAACTCCGCGCCAATTCATTATCAATTTATTATTGCGAAATGCGCATTTGTGCGTGAAATACATCTATTACGATTACATCAAATCGTAAAAAAGAATTTCGAGAACTCGGATGATGAAATATTTTTTAATATAAACAACAAAGACACACACGTGACAAAATAATACCACGGGTGTCCGAAACCAATCGATATTATATTTGCTCGAAATTCTCTGACTGATTCGGCAATTTATAAATTTTTTTATATTATATAGGTAATTTTTACTAAAAAGAAAATAACGTACTTCTATATCAAGTAGTGAAACAACCTGGTTTTGTAAATGCGGGGCGAGTTTTATCTGCGATCTACTTACTGGGCCAGATGTTCGGTTAGATAGGCAGGTGTCGTTGAGTCGGGCCGCAACGGCGGGCTAGTAATAAAATGCCTCGCTCTCTCCATGTCTTTGCCATATTGCTCACTACCGTCGATACCGATAGCGCTCGCCAGAGTCTCTCCGAAAACGATGATACCCTCCGAACGTTTCGCCGACAAGACGTCGGCCGCGGACTTGCTCGAGATCGACGTTACGTACAGCGGACTATTCACCTAAACGCGATATTTTTATCCTCTCACTGAAATAACCGCTGTGTGCTCTCACTAATCTGTTATTCTTTATCAATTTAGACACACAAAGCAAATAGCGGCTGAAAACAGTTCGTCTTACAATTTTGGAGAATATATTTTTTATATGTTTCTAAACTTAAAAAAAATGTTTGCTTCAATTTTTGCAAGATATTGTTCTCCGCTGGAAACTTCTTTCAGCCGCGCAATCAATTTCTATCTGACATCAATTTTACACAAACACTTTCACCTCTGACAAATAAATACACAACGCTAAAAATTAACACAAATAATAATCGTGAGAGGGGGAAGAAACGTGCTGAAAGTACGTTAACACAGGCGTGTTAACTGATAAAATAAAAATAAGAAAGCAAATGAATTTTTGCTACTTTCAACATACATGCGAGTATAAAATTTTATACGGGAATTGCTAAATATAAATTTCAGCGCGCACGATAACAGCATAATTGCGCTCTGTGCACGTACGTCACGCAAACGTCTAGCTACATAACGTAGAAACTTAAATTACTATTGCCGCAATTGCAACCTATTTCCGCTAATCAGCTGTATCAGAAAGGGCAAAGAGAAGGGGGAGGGAGAAGAGCGCAAAACGATACACGTGTTCAGTCGATACTTTGTGCCGAATGTACCTGCGGCGATGTTATTTGGGAAACGTCATCCGATCGATAGAATAGATATAATTTACGGTAATATCGCGAAATAGACATCGAGTTTCTCCAATCCGAGATTTTCCCTCGGTGTACGCTTAGTTATTTAGGAAAAGACCGGTCGACGTTTTTACTCCTTTTAAGTAGAAAGTACGAGCGCTGTGATATACGCGTTTGCGATTTCGAATGAAGAAAGTGTCTTCCGACAACATTCTTCTGGACAAGATTCTGTACTTGGCGAGGGTTTTGCCATTTGAAAGTGTGTCTTTAATCGGATCTGCGTTTAAACAGCCAACAACTAGCAATTTTGTATTCGACTCTGCGGTTTTTAAACTGTATATAATTTTTGGATAAATCTTCGAATTTTGTGCGCTCGTGTGTGTTGAGCAGCCGGTTACGACTTTTTATTTAATAATACGCAGACAAATATCATGAAATTCTGAAGTGTGCTAGCCAGCTCTGATGTCAAAGTCGTTCAAATTCCAAATTCACCGGCGTCTTCAACTCACTTGGTCAATTTGTTCAGCAGTACCATCGGTGTTTCCGGATCCGGTCTGAGTGGCGGGCTTATAATATGACCCGCGGCGTGTTTCCAGCATTTGTGCCAATAGTTGGTGCCGTCGGTGCCGATCGCGGCCGCCAAAGTCTCGCCGAAGACGCACGCGCCGCGCTTACGCGCGGCCTCCACTTGCTCGGCGGCGCTACGACTCATCACATGCACTACGTACAGCGGACAATTGACCTAAGCGTGCAGAATTTCGATAAAAACTAAAAAAACAAGCAGCAAATGCGACAATGACGCCTGGCAATAGCACGTTCATTGTCGCTTGTAGCTTTTTACACGTAGATAGTAAAAGAAGAGATAAAAAAGAGAAAAAAATTTTTAAGAGATTTAAAAACACTAAAGAGAGAGAAATTAAATTAAATGATACGCAGACAACTTTAAGGCGTCAATGTTGCACTTCACCGCGTGACACAGATATTCCTTAAACTCGGCGGCGAGGCTAGTGAGAATTAGACTTTTGGGCACTTGCCACGAAAAGCAAGCGCTTTGTCCTGAATTCTAATCTACGCCAAGATTTATGATTGTTCGTGAACTGAATACCGATGCGGATAGCGTGCCAAGTGCATTTCTAACAGAGAAACGTCGAAAAACTGATATAAATGTAAAAAAGCTCTGCGTGCTCGGAACCAAGTAGCGTAATGTAACGTAAGAATAGATACGAGGCACGAATTGATGAGCGATTATATCTAAGAGATATCGATGCTGTCCGCAACAACGACTGACGATGCTGCGGAAAGCTCTCCGCCCGTCTCGCTTACCTGATTGGCGATAATGCACGCTCTGTTCACAGCCTCCGCCTCAACTTCCTCAGGACGTGACATCTCGTGGCCCTCCGGGCCGGTAACTCCTGCGGCAAGCAGTTTCTTCGCATTCTGAAACAAGTTTATAGCGATGAGAAAGACAGAGAAAGAGAGAAAGAGAAAGAGAGTTCGTATACTTGTGTATTCCGCGTGAAAATCCCGTTCCAAACAACGCGTAACGCGTTGACCCTCGACCGCACTAAGCGCAACTTTCTCAAATTACCTTTTCGTTTTTATGTTTCTTTGTTCGTCGATCATAAATGAAAGAAAAGATGTAGTAAAGAACTTTTCCAATTTCTCTCGCATGTAAATTCTAACAGATTATATTTCGTACTTTCGCGCAAATAAAAATGTCAATGTAATCAATTTTCTCATCGGTCCAATTTGACAATCTCGAAATAAAAAGTCTCACGGTTAGATATCGGAAGGATATCGTCGGTCATCCTGTATGTACCTCATAGATAATGTCACCGTTTTCCGCATGCACCATCGCAACAGCGCCGATCTCCTTGCAGGCTTTGAAAGCCTCGATCAGATCCGGGTCTCTAAGCATGAGCAAGTCACGGTACGCCATGAACATCTTGAAACTATTGACACCGTGAATCTTCGTCAGCGTCTCCATGTCCTCTCTGACCTGCAAAAGAGACCGCAAGCATCGATGAATAATGAATCGAACGCGGCTTCCTTTTCGACGGCGGTGCATAACGTATAAGGAGACACGACGACGACGACGACGACGACGACGATGGCGACAACGTTCGTTTCCATCGCGCACAGCCTCAGGCAGCACGTGTGGTTTCCTCATCCGTCATGTGTCACTCGGTATTCCAGCTGCGTGATCGCAATCGCAATTACAGGCCGGTTACGAGAGATTCGCAGACAGTCGCCAATTTACCGAACGAGATTAACAGTTAACAATATTTTTGCGTTTGGGATCTATCGCGCGCGACGTTTCGCGACTCCGTGAATAATCGAAACCGGAAATGTAAATAGATCGTCCAGTCGCGACTCTAAACCACCGTTACAAAAAATAATGAAAATCAAAGCTGAAGAATTAAATTTAATTCCGAAGCTATTGAACTTTATTCTTCTTTGCTCGGTTTGAATTTAAAAAGAAGAACAAATAAACAAGTCAATGAAGCTTGATGAGCTTCTATTAATTAACAATAGAGCGCATCCGATGAATTCGTTAGGTCTTTCGGATTATATTGGCTACCTTAATGAACCGGAAGTTGCAAGAGATAAAACCGAATTAACGTGTTGTGCGTTATGCTCCGCGCGCGTTTCACGTAATTTGCATTGAGCGTCGGAATTACGTAAATTGTCATTGACGCCAGTTGACGCCCCCCTCGGTCAACGTAACACGGCATAATAAATTCTGACGCGGGAACGTTGTCGGCAGAAGACTTAGATGTGCGTCGAGCGTCGCAGCTTTGAATGATCGCGATCGCGGTAGAGAAAGAAAGGGGTCGTGACAAAACGAGCTTTCTATCCTAGGGAGGTCTCGTGTTACCGCAATTATCTCGTTCCGGATGACTGAAAAGGCTAAAAGGAACAGTGAGTACTTGTGTGCGAAACCGCACGTGGCACGATGACCTGGCATGTAAGCATTAATTGATGCGTCGCGCGTCGCAAAAGTAGGATGTTACGATGCGTATAAAATTGAACAAAGTCGACTCATTCCGAAGCGACCCATGTTTTGAAGCAACGAGTCAATATAAAAGATCGAGATAAGATTAGAAATCGCAATTTTTTTTTTTTTTTTTTTTTGCACTCTATCAATCTCGGTTGAAGTGCGATCACAGACGGGAAAATGCAGTGCGATAGCTCGAGAGATTATCAGAAACTGATTTGTGTGAATTTCCAGTTCAGAACCGCGTGTCGATCTTCTTCGCGTTCGCGCAATCGCGTTTTTTTTTCTTTTTTTTTTTTTTTTAATATAAAAGCAAGATAAAATTTACCTTCGGACTCCATGATGAAACAACGATGTGCAGCGCGTAATCGCAGCACACCTTCTGATCGGCGTTCTCTCGATATCTCTCGTAAGCCTCTATCAGGCTCTCGTCTTTTCGCGGTGCCACAAAGTCGATGATCATCGTGGTACCGCCTGCGACCGCGGCCTTCGTGCCCTGATAAAAGTCGTCCACCGTCTTGGTACCCATGAATTCGAACTCCAAATGAGTATGCGGGTCTATACCGCCGGGCATCACGTATTTTCCCCTCGCGTCGATGATTCTCGTGCCACCCGGTATGATGAGGTTGCGACCCATTTGTCTGCGAGAAGAGATAACATCTTTCTGTTTTTGTTTTTTTTGTTTTTTTTTTTCAAATTTTAATTTCCACAATTTAATTATTCTCGTCTCTTGATTGACAAATGATTTTTTGAAAACCAAATTTAATTAGCTGATCGATCGGTTCTGGACACTGATAGTGTCTGCCGTCTATCAGTTTAATGACAGTCACGCTTGTTTGTTAAATCACAGCGAGCGCACAAACGCGCGCTCTTATCTGTCGCCGCCTCATTGAGGTTCCAAGTGATGGAACTACCGCGCGACGACGAACGAACGTGCGTATCGCGTTTCGCTTGTGTAATAAAGCGGCGTTCGAACACGTGAGCACTGAACGCATCGTGACTGTCATACCAACGTGAGCACCAAGCAGTCAAAACACACAAACGCGTGACTATCTTCGGAAAACAAACGTGCGAGCACGCGTTTCGGCAATTTGCTCCAACAACAAAATGTCGCATTGCGCGACTTTCGCGACAAAAACGATGCCGTCATTAACGCGCGCAATTTGTTATTATACGTGTTGTGTGTGGGTACGCGATGATAAACATACACGCGCAATCTCTTACCGTCGGAAGTTGCATACCTGATGATGCCATCCTCAATGTAGACGTCGCTGTCGATGATTCCGTCATCGTTGACAACCTTGCCGTTTTTGATCAGCAATCTGTTCTGCGCGCTCTGGAACGAGAGACGAGCGTTCGCGTGAATAAAGCGCGTGAGATTCTCGTTGCAAAAAAAAAAAAAAAAA